CGCCATTTAGGGGAGGACATTATCCAAAATCAAGCATGTTGGAAGTCAATTATATACAATGTGATCGGTACACCGCCTATTTAGGGAGGACATTGCCCAGTAATCGCTACATGTTGGAAGTCACTATAAACAATGTGACCTGTAATAATCGCCCATTTAGGGAGGACATTTCCCAATCTTCACGCAAGGAAGTCACTATATACAATGTGATCTGTACACTGCCCATTTGGGAGTACATTTCCAATCTTAGCACGTTGAAGTCACTATATACAATGTGACCTGTACAACGCCCATTTGGAGAGAACATTTCCCAAAAGCAAATCAAGCATGTTGAAGGCACTATAAACAATGTGACCTGTACACCACTGTTAGAGGACATTTCCCAATCTTCAAGCATGTTGAGTCACTATACAATGACCTGTACACCGCCCATTTGGGAGAACGTTTCCCAAAAAAGGAAACAAGCATGATGAAGTCACTATAAACAATGTGACCTGTACACGCCTATTTAAGGAGGACGCTAATAATCAAGCATGTTGGAAGTCACTATGGCAATGTAGCCTGCGCCTATTTAGGGAGGACATGGCCCAATAATCAAGCATGTTGAAGTCACTATAAACAATGTGACCTGGCCATCGCTATTTAGGAGGACATGGCCAATAATCAAGCACGTTGAGAGTCCACTATAAACAATGTGACCTGTACGCATCGCCTATTTAGGGAGGACATTGCCCAATAATCAAGCATGTTGAAGTCACTATGTTCAATGTGACCTGTACACCGCCTTATTTAGGGAGGACATTGCCCAATAATCAAGCATGTTGAAGTCACTATAAAATAATGTGACCTGTACACCGCCTTCCATTTTAGGGAGGACATTGCCCAATAATCAAGCATGTTGAAGTCACTATAAAACAATGTGACCTGTACACGGCCCATTTAGGGAGGACGGTACTCCAATAATCCAAGCATGTTGAAGTCACTATAAACAATGCTTGACCTGTACACCGCCATTTTGGGGAAGAACGTTTCCCCAAACATCAAGCATGTTGAAGTCACTATATACAATGTGATCTGTACACCGGCCCATTTAAAGGGAGGACGGTGCCCAATAATCAAGCATGTTGAAGTCACTATAAACAATGTGATCTGTACACCGCCCATTTAGGGAGGACATTTCCCAAAAATCCAGCATGTTGAAGCTAACTATAAACAATGTGACCTGTACACACACCGCCCATTTAGGGAGGACATTCCTTAACTTTCAAGCATGTTGAAGGCACTATAAACAATGTGACCTTGGTACACCGCCTATTTGAGGGAGGACATTGCCCAATCTTCAAGCATGTTGAAGTCACTATATACAATGTGACCTGTACACCGCCCATTTGGGAGGATATTTCCCCCAAATCAAGCATGTTGAAGTCACTATATAACAATGTGACCTGTACACCGCCTATTTAGGAGGACATTTCCCAATCTTCAAGCATGTTGAGAGTCACTATATACAATGTGATCTCGTACACCGCCCGTTTAGGGGAGGACATTTCTTTAAAATCCAGCATGTTGAAGTCACTATATACAATGTGACCTGTACACCGCCCTATTTAGGGAGGACATTGCCCAAAAATCAAGCATGTTGAAGGCACTATATACAATGTGATCTATACACCGCCCATTTGGGGAGGACATTTCCCAAAAACTCAAGCACGTTGAAGTCACTGCATAAACAATGTGACCTGTACACCGCCCATTTTAGGAGGACATTGCTAAAAATCAAGCATGTTGAAGTCACTATATACAATGTGTTGTGATTTAGGAGGGACATTTCCCTCAAATCCAGTACACCGCCCTGCATTTCAGGGGAGGACATTGCCAAAAGTAATCAAGCATGTTGAAGTCACTATAAACAATGTGATCTGTACATTGCCCAGCCGCCATGCATTTTGAGGATTACATTTCCCTGTACAATCTTCAAGCTATTACGTTGAAGTCACTATACACAATGATCTGTACACCGCCCATTTGGGAGAACATTTCCCCAAATCTTAAAGCGCGTTGAAGTCACTATATACAATGTGACCTGTTCACCGCCCATTTGGAGAGAACATTTCCCAAAAATCAAGCATGTTGGAAGTCACTATAAACAATGTGACCTGTACACCGCCCATTTTGGGAGCAGGCATTTTCTGGAAATATCAAGCAAAATGTTAAAAGCTCTACTTTATATACAATGTGATCTGTACACCGCCCATTTAGGAGAACATTTCCCAAAAATCAAGCATGTTGAAGTCACTATAAACAATGTTACCTGTACACCGCCTATTTAGGGAGGACATGGCCCAATAATCAAGCATGTTGAAGGCACTATATACAATGTGATCTGTACACCGCCCATTTAGGGAGGACATTTTCCCCAAATCAAGCATGTTGAAGTCACTATAAACAATGTGACCTGTACACCGCCCATTTGGGGAGGACATTGCCCAATATTCAAGCATGTTGAAGTCACTATATACAATGTGACCTGTACACCGCCAATTTGGGGAGAACATTTCACAAAAATCAAGCATGTTGAAGTCACTATATACAATGTGATCTGTACACCGCCCATTTGGGAAGGACATTTCCCAATCTTCAAGCACGTTGAAGTCACTATATACAATGTGACCTGTACACCGCCCATTTAGGAGGACATTGTCCAATAATCAAGCATTATGACATCACTACAATTTAAATAATGTGACCCATACGCCGCCACTTTGGGGGCGGTAGATTTTTCTTGAGGGTATTGGTTGTTTGTGTTTTAGGTGCTATATCAGCGGTATGTATGTTTTAGGAACCTTTGATTTCTTTTCACACATGATTTCCAAATAACTCAATACATTTTAATCGGAGTAGTTCTACCCTTTTCGTCTCGTATGTTACAACTTGAAATGAGAAGACAATACCAAAACGTCCGTAACGAAACATAACGTTAGAAAAACAACTCATCTTTTGAAAACGACATACTGTTGTTTGGGAGGTTTTCAAATAGAGGAAAATCCATTTTACACCAGCAGCCATTTGTATTTCCGATTGCAATTTACAATGTTTACCACAAAACAAGTCAAAAGTATAAACAATTATCTTTTTTTCCTAATGTGATTTATGTATATAAAATTGTTTATGATAACTATTTTTTGATTAAATTATTTTCTTTTTTGACGCGTTGCTATCCAGTCTTCGGAGACGACCGTATTTCGCACGCTCTCTGTACATATATACTTCTTTCGTCTCTTCCGGTGGTTTTGAAATAAATATCTGATTGTATGCAGGGCGTTTAACGATGATTAATGATGATTTCCTCCAGCGAGTGTACGGCTGTTCAATTATGACAGAAATATGAAATCATTCGCAGAAAATAATAAGCTGAGTCCTTTTCGTGTTAATAGCATCTTGGGCTTAAATCTGTAATAGAATACAATTTGTTGGACATATAAGTAATATTTCGTATGCCATTGCTTAATAATAGCAAACACTTTGGTGTGTGTGTGGTTGTGTGTTATTATTTGTCCATAATTAACCACAAAATATTTCATTTCCCCGGAAATTCAGGACAACTGATTTCACTGTGTGGGTGGTCCTATCCGTCATCAGCATAAGAAGTTACGTATTGCTTGCCTCCATCAAGGGGTAAATTTAATTCGATAATTTGATTTTACATAAACTGAAATGTAAAATGCGCAAAAACAAACCATTCATAATACATAAACCGTCTTCCAGATTTTATGAGTTGCGATATCTCCCGAAACTATAATTGTTTCTGTATCGTAATACCTGTTGGTCAGGATCTTGTTATTGTAGAAAACCCTCAACTTTGTGATGGACCCGTGAAGATACAGATTAGAGCTGATCTTCAGTAACCCTTGCTTGTCGTAAGAGGCGACTAACGGGATGGGGTGGTCGGGGTTGGCTGACACATGCCATCGGTTCCCAATTGCGTTCATCGATGTTCACGATATTGATCACTGGATTTGTCAGGTCAGACGTGATTGATTACAAGCCGCCGCTATATAGCTGGAATATTGCTGAGTGCGGCGTAAAATAAACTCACTCACTCATTGACTCACTCCACTCACACTTTTGATGATCACCTTCAGGGACCACAATACAGAGAGCACAATTAACTGTCACCAAACGATTCGCCAAACTGAAAATTGGTTAATCTGGATGATTTCGGTGAAAGTATACTAACCGTCCTGATTCATGAGGAGGTTCAATGGAGTTGGGCGGTGGGATAGCCTTGTGGTTAAAGCGTCCGCTCGTCACGCCGAAGACCGGGTTCCATTGCCCACATGGTAGACTACGGCTTAGTCTCTGAATATATATAATTTTTGATAGTAACAAACAACCCATTTATATTGAAAAGGAGCCCTAGGGAGACCAGAGATTCAGAACCTGAACCTGAAATCTAGACTTGCTTTATTTAGGGCTTTTAGCACTGCAGAGAGGGCTTGGCAGTAGGAAAATAATGTGGTTCAGGGACTGTGAGACAGACTACCCACATGGGTACAATGTGTGAAGCCCATTTCTTGTGTCCCCGCCGATATTGCTGGAATATTGCTAAAAGCAGGTTAAATAAAATTCTGTTTTAAGAAAATATGAAATTTTACAACTTTAATTCTTATATTTTTCAGAAAAAAGGATTCCTGAGGTCATGGAAAAAGGACAGATCGTTACCCACGCAAAGAGCGACAGCAGTCGCGTTGTCCTTAATAACAGAGTATATGAAAATATCTCCAACTTACAACAGTTGGCACTTCGGCAACTGAGATTGAGAACTCCAGTCCTCAAGTACAATTACAAAGCGGAAAAACCTTCGAATTGAATCAGGCCAAGATGCTCTGGTGCCACGACAATATCGGAATGTAAACCAGCGAGAACAAATTCTTTTTAACACGCTGGAAAAGCATCTGTCCAGACAACAACAATCTGCGCTGCAGAGCCAAGATCACTCCATGCAGAAATACAGACAGCGCCTTGCCGGATACGAGCGTCTGCGCATGCCCACTGATGAATCGATAAATGGGAGTTGTGTTGGTGCGTCCAGTGGCAGCGAGGTAGTGATAGGTAGTGAACGGCGCTCCGGGAGCAAAACAATCTCGGGGAAATCAACACATCCGTTGATATCGACGTATGCTGCGAAACACGGCGACCAATCAATAGCCGCCGTTGATGTAAACACTGAAAAGGAGGCAGGGCTTGAAGTTATGACCAACGCTCCTGCTGAGAGGACGCCGAGTGTATTTAACACAGCCATCTCGACACGGGCTAGTCAGTTGAACCCAAACGGTCGTACTAACGAGTTTGGTGGAAGAAGCGTGCCGCACGTCTTTAGAGGGAAATTACCGAGTCACAAAAAGTCCAAGTCGTTCCGTACTTTGGAGTCAGTTGTAAAGAAGATCAACTTGCAGAAGAAGATTGGTCTGAAAATCACCATGCTCCGAGCACCAGATTCATCCGGTAGCACGTCAACAGATTCCAACCTGTTGACTGTGGATGACAACAGCATGAGACCTAGAGCTTACACAGACCCGACATCCGACGGCAAGGGGAAGACGGCAATTAAGCTTCCCGAGATTACCATTGAAGACTGTTCGGACCCTGAGGACAAGATGAACAGTGAGGTGGAGATGTTCTCCGATTTGTCCCCTCCACGCCGGAGGGCAAACAACGTGTCCGGAAGGAGTTCTTCAACAGACGACGAAAGGGAGGCCTCAACACCCCCTCCAACATCCCGAAACGGCAGCCCTACCAACAAATTCACTTTCGGGAACGTGAGGAGTCCCAGCAAAAGTCCCGTGTCATTCGTGCACCATAAACTGAGCAAAGTGTCTGAAGATGGCGGTGAAGCGCCTAATGACAGGAACGTGTCAACAAAGTCGTCTGCTCGTATGAGTAAGCAGACGATCGCCAACAGACGGAGTTCCTTCAACACCATGGCTAGCCTTAGGGCAGGTCTTGCCTCCAAATTAACACTGATTGAATCTGAGGACGAAATGAGGACGGAAAAGGGGCAGTTTGCTGTTGCAAAGCCCGAAGCTTCGAGGGCAAGTTGATAATAACAAGATTTCGGGATATATGTCTCAGGGTCAGGGATGTGACAGACGTATACGCAAAGGATTGTCGCTTCTCTCAGAAAATATCCCCAACGTTGGACGGGAAACCCTTACGCAAGCTTGTTAGCGCCACTTTCTCCATAATATTCAGGTGTCCATATTATTCCCCTCGCAGCATCTAATGGCACAGACTTACAGAGGGCCATGTGTCTTCGTGGGACAAATTGACCGATGACCATTATGACAAATGATATATCAACGGTCGGTGACAATTACACAGCTGTTGACCATGTTACAATCAACACCTGTTAATATTTGGAATGGAAAAGACTTGCAAATGGAAGTACGATGTTATTCTGTCGGTGAGTGTAATGACTTGAAAACACTTACAGTTGTACATATTTGTAAATACCACTGTTCATAATTCCTTTCTGAGACATTCTATATGTGACTGTGATATTTCACTTCATAAGCAATATTTCCTCATAAGCTATTTCGTTTTGAACATTCATAACGCTTTTTTCCTCAAATCTCATGTATCAACTAATGAACGCTTTCAGTTCTATTTGATGAGTCTGTGGTCACTTATCACTTCATTAGGTTTGGTCTGGGGTATTAGCACTGAATTGTAACACCGTTGGGGATATTTCAATAGACGTTGCTATGGAAACAAACACTATCTCCGCCAATTCATATCACTCCCAGGGCTTTTCGGGATGAGGATTATAGGTTGTTGAGTACGGGCTGGTTTTTTTTGTGAAAGTAGGTCAGCTAAAGCTCAAGGGCACTTTTGCGAATATGTTTCAACCTTGCGCAAAGCGAAACAACAAATGATCATTTTCTCATAATCTGTTCTCCACAGACAGGAATAATTCGTCAATTTATAAATCACCTTAACTATTTAATTAACCGTTATTACATATGTCCCCTTAGTTCCATTTATCCCGAAACTTGATACAGACATATGTTGGGCCCAGGTTGATGTGGGAGATTAGCTGTACGTGTGTTTGTCGATAACAAGATGTGGGGTAGCTTCGTGGTTAATGCGTTTGCACTTCACGTCTCAGGCCCGGGTTCGATTCCCCACATTGTACCAAGCTCAATCCCGGTGTCTCCACCGTGTTATTGCCTGAGTACTGCTAAAAGAAGCGTAAAAGTATAACTACTTTTAGATTACAGAAGTTTACATAATCCAATGGTGCACATCTGGATGAAGATGGTGCACATCTGTCCAAACGTAACACGACCTGGGGCTCTTTTAACAAAGCAATATCAACGCTACCAATATCATACGCCTTCAAACTACGGCGTTACCATTATAACGCTGCGATCGATATCTGAAAGGAGGCCTGATTCACTTAGTAACGATCGTGCCAAGTTGGGATCAAATATTGTCAATATCATACTGTCCAATATTTATGTAACTAATGGTGAGATAAAGCAGGTACTTATCACTATGACATGCCTGTCACCAGATATTAGAATTATTACGGTAACAGCATATTGACCTTTCCTTGTAACAATCAGGGAGGAAATGAGGAACATCCAAATGTCAATAAGTAGTCCTGCTGACTCTCACACTCCCCGCTATAAATGCCCAGAGAGTGAAAACAAGCTTATGTTGTCATAGCAGTCTGTGGCCCTGGAACATAGGAATTGGTGATAGCGGCAAATATTGATTATGTGACACAGTAAGTTAGGATAAGAGATACTGTAGGCTTTCATAGACTGTATATGATGGGTGTAACCCATGAGTGTCGCAAACTGTTTTTTAGAATAAATACATTTTCTTCTTAAGGCTGTTTCAAAATTAACGAGGGCGGTGGGATAGCCGTGTGGTTCAAGCGTTCGCTCGTCACGCCAAAGGCCCGGATTCGATTCCGGGTTCGGGTGCAATGCGTGAAGCCCATTTTTGGTGTCCCCCGCCGTGATATTGCTGGAATATTGCTAAAAGCGGCGTAAAACCCACCTCACTCACTTAAAAATTAACGCAAAGTTATAATGATAACGATCACTGTGTAAATACTACACGTCGGTTCAAAAGAACAATGTGTTTTGACTATTCTCACAAATGTATTAATTTTGGTTTGAAGGACACACTTGATGTGAAAATCATATTAACCGAAAATCAGTGATGACACCAGGTGTTTCACACTTATGAGCATATTGACCATCTTCCCAAATAGTGTATCGTGTTTTATTGCTGAAGCACGAGTTAAAATAAGTTACGTGTATACAGGAAAACCATGACAATACATATACTGTATATCATCTTAAAGTACGGATTACGATAATTTGCATATTTTGTTGCGTGCGGGCAAGCTATAAACCTGTAGCTGTTGGTTCCAAAGCCAAGGGCCCGATTATCTTTCTAGGCTTGTCAGCACCATCCTCGAAGGTTTCACCAAAGTGGTATGCGTTTTTGATCGTCATCACTTCGGGATTTTCTCCCACGTCAACCAGACACGATATAACTGAAATACTGTTCAAGGCGGCGTTAAAGTCAACTCACCCACTCACTCTATTCCACATGTCATTGGTACTGTTTAGATGTATTAAACTCATTTTATATTTTGTATGTAGTGTTACCTGTATTTACATATGTACATGCTTCTTTTACTTTAAGGCTCTACTCACCCAATACTCCTAAATATTTATCATTATATTTAATTTGAAGTATCAGTAAAAGCGTGCCTAGCTGGATAACATTTTGTATTTGCCTCTTTGTCAACAATACGTCAATTTTACCCTGAATATACCGTCACACAATATACTTTGTGGTAACTGTGTCAAATATTTTCCTAGCATTATATTAAGTTCAATAATATGTAGTCATAAGGGATTTCATATCTGTATTTGATAAACAACATTGTGTTGTACTGACAAAAGAATCCTGATATATTTTGACATTTAACATTGATGGCTATCCTGCTGCGTGGGTACTTCATGGCCTGTTAAAAATGTGTATAACATGCTAGCGATCCAGACTTTGAATTGTTCATATTCTCTTTATACACTCAGATGGTTATTGTTGATTGTAAATAATTTTTATTGTACAATGTCTTTCAGAAATAAATGTATGACTTTACATGTTATCATTTGTGATTTTTCCATTCAGAAGGACTGGATTTTCTGGTTGTTATCATTGTGGTAACAACCTTAGGGAATAATTTACTAATCGGAAAGTTATTGAGAATTTTAAATTATCGGGCCATTAATTAGGGTATTTGCGAGACGGAGAATAGTCACCGACACATACGGCACACACAGACATATAGGCACATTACAAACACAGACACAATCGGCAGAAAGACATACACGTACACACAGACACAGACACAGAAACACACATGCACGCACATACACAGACACAATTGTCACACACACAGACATACACGTACACAGAGACAAATACACATGCACAAACATAGACACAGATACAGACAGACAGACACAGTCGGCACGCACACATACACTTACACACAGACACAGACACACAAATGTACAAACATACCCACACAGATACACACAGTCATAATCGGCACAAAAGACATACACACAGACACAAACACAATAGACACACAGATATGCACATACACACAGAGATATGCACAGAAACACGCATACACACCTACAGATAAACGCATATCCATACACATCCACAGACGCACACACAGAGATTTACATTGCTATACACATCCACAGACGCACACACAGAGATTTACATTGCTATACACATCCACAGACGCACACACAGAGATTTACATTGATATACACATCCACAGACGTACACACAGACATTTACATTGATATACACATCCACAGACGCACACACAGAGATTTACATTGATATACACATCCGCAGACGCACACACAGAGATTTACATTGATATACACATCCACAGACGCGCACACAGAGATTTACATTGCTATACACATCCACAGACGCGCACACAGACATGTACATTGCTATACACATCCACAGACGCACACACAGAGATTTACATTGCTATACACATCCACAGACGCACACACAGACATTTACATTGATATACACATCCACAGACGCGCACACAGACATTTACATTGATATACACATCCACAGACGCGCACACAGACATTTAAATTGCTATACACATCCACAGACGCACACACAGACATTTACATTGATTTGGGTATTGTCAAATATTACCTCAGAGATCCAAAGTCGACACATGTATTATCTACAAACCTAGCCTTACCTAAAGGTATTGGCTTCTTAGGATTTGCATTTGGTAACCTTACAGAGATAGCCACTGCATAGTTTACATCAATATCAACGTATCCTCTCATAAGCCTCCACGCATAACAGGAGATGATGCAGTCATGTACATATATCATGTCATATACAGGGCATGCTCCGTGCATGTGATCTGGTTGGTTGGTTTGTTGCTTGACCATAACAAAGATTTGATATGGTTTGTTGTTTTACGCCGCACTCAACAATTGTTCTGCTTATATGGCGGCCGTCTGTGCCGCGTGTGTGTGCATGTAGGTGTCTGTGTGTGTCTGCACGTGAACGTGACTTTGTGAAAAAACCTCAAAACAGATAAAATAAAAACACTGAATTGCATGTATTCATGTTCGTGTCTTCTTTAAATGGGTTCAACTATTGCGTACAAGACAAATTAATTACCATGCGCAGTGGAACAAGAAGACATCCAATTACACAGTGATTCTACAAACATTTATGACACAGATTAAACATAGTTATCGAGACACACTTACTTATCAGCATTTACCAAGGACACTTCTCATATTCCGAGAAACACTAGACTGATTACTTTCAGTGTTTATATTACAAGTAAACATCGCTTATCACGTATTTTTCCAGACTAACGACTCATCTGGAAAGTGGTTAGCGCCGTCAGCTAATCATATTTCCATATACAAGGCCATTTAGAAACTTGTTTTTTTCTAGTTCCTTGCTGACGAAATATAGGATTTTGTATACAAAGCAA